CCTCCCGATCAACGCCGGGTCTAGCTTCTCCTCGTCGTCCGTGGCGACGATGATGCTCCACAAGCAGACCACAGCCTGTCGATGAAGTTAAGCAGCCCTGAGAGCGTCACTTTGGTAACGTCGTCCTTCTCCGGCTCTACCGGTAGCTTGGACTTGTCATCAATGTGTGCCCTTGTCGCTTGCGACCTTCTTGTTCTCGTGGCATTTTCCGGTGAGGTCGACGGAGCAGTCAATGTCCTCAATGATGATGATGATGGACTTGCCCGTGGTCTCAATGAAGAGCTCTCGCAACTTGGTGTTGTTCTTGACCGTCGTGAGCTCGAGGTCGTAGACGTGTAGTCAAGGAAGTTAGCCATGGCGGCGACCATGGTGGACTTGCCGGTGCCGGGTGGTCCATAAAGGAGGTACCCACGTTTCCACGCCTTGCCGACCTTGGCGTAGTATTCCTTGCTCTCCTGCAATGCCATTGGGGTCGTCGATGACGGCCATTCTCATCATGGATCATGACAAGCGTGTCAAAGGTGGTGGGGTGCTCGAAGGGGACGTGGCTCCAGACGCTTTTGCCCCGGTAGGGGTTCAAGCTGCCGCTAGCGTTGTTGATGAAGATGCGGCGTGGGCTGTTCTTGACGGTCACAACGCGGCCCTCGCCGAGGATGAAAGGAAGGTAGGAGTCCCAGAGAAGTCGTCAATGACCTTCTCGTGTTCGTCAATGGAGACCTGGAGGTTCTTGTTGTCCTTGCCGAGCTCGGCCTTGAGCTTGCGCACGCGGCGGGCGCAGGCATTGCTGAGGTAGGCTTTGACAGCTCGCCACCACCAATCCGAGCCCCGCCCACCTCTCCACCATCGCCGTCATTGCCGGACCTGGAGCTCCTCTTCATATCGTGTCTTGATAGAAAGCCGTAGTGACCTGGATTGGACTGGATATGACAATGATTCGTGTGGTGATTTGCTTAGGTTGAAGCTTAGCTAAGCACGACACCGGAGCTCCGAGGAGAACCAGTTGAGCAGGTTAGCTGTTTCTTTTTTTGTTGTTTCTTTTTTTTGAGCAGCTTAGCATTTTTTTAGCAGGTTAGTTTTTTTAAGGGTAGTAGGTTATCAGGTTAGTTGGTGAGCGGAAGAGGAGGTGGCCCAGCTAGCGTTTAGCTGCTGCTGGGCCGGGAACGAGCATACCGCTCGGTTCGCCCTGTGCGTGTTTTAGTACCACATCGCTAGAGTTGGAGCCTCCATCGCGGTCTAAATAGTCTGGTAGTGACCCCCGTATCGCCGATGACGCAAAGCATATACACCGGCTTGCCGGTCAGGGTCTGTCGAGGCAAAAAGCAATCATCACATACTTCTGGCCGGGCCAGGCCGTGGGCCTGTCACCTGAAGTTGCTGTTAAGTCGTGCATGAGAGGGGTCAGAAGTATGGATTGGTGTCAGTCTTTTTTATGAGCTTTCACTTTTCTTTTTTCAATGTACCAAGACCTATTATAAAAATGGTCGATGCTATAGGCGCCGGCCCGCCGCCCAAACATTTTTTGCCAGGTTGAAGCAAAAAATTTCGTCGGTTCCAGCAAAAAAAGAAGCCAATACCAGCAAAATTGCCTCGTCGTCGCCGCCCACAACAAAAAGACTAGTCGGTTCCAGCTAATGGAAAAGCCAGTTCTAGCTCAAAACCATGCCAGCTGTAGCATGTCGACTCCACACCACCAGAAACGCACCTCGCTCCAGCACAGGCTGCTGCCGGTTGCAGCTCCTATGACCGCCATCTGCAACAATGACGGCTATCGGGGTTGCAGCACTGCGTCGCGGGTGTAGCTCGTAAGTTGTGGCCTCGAGCTCGTCAGTGTTTGTTGTGCTCGCGACAAGGCCGGGGAGTACACAGCGAGCGCGGGGCTGGTCGCAGCAAATCCGGCGCGCGGGGGCGGCTTAGTGGGTGCGACGCTGGAGAGCAGGAGGTGGGGCCATTGACACGAGGGAGTAGGAGGTGGGCGGCCGTCCACGCGGGGGAGAAGGAGGTGGGCGGTCGTCGGCGCAGGGAAGATCAAGATGCGGGTGAGAGAGATGATGCGTATCGGCTGAGGAGATAAGGTAGTAGTTGTGAGATGCACGATTAGTTCGGATTGAGCGACACACAAGCGGCCGGCACAAACTTGGGCCGGTCCGCCGTATACAAATGTTTCCTGATAAAAATTTGACGGAAGTAGAAAGTACCACAAACGTAATAAATATTAAATCAAGGTTTTTGGACCATCAAATGACCAACCGTCGTCAGAACGACCCACTGAAACTCCAACTTCCCCTCTCTTATGTAAGCATTTGCTTCTCTTTCAAATGGTTGAACTTCAAGTTCCTAATCACATTAGCTTGTGCACATTGATGATGCTTCCATATGCCAGCCTTTTCTCGCAGCTTGGTGTCTCCTCCTCTTTCTCTGCCAGCTCTCCCTTCAAGTTGCCCACTGAATTGTCCAGCTAGCCATTTTCTCCTATTCATTGGACCTCTTAAACTGCTGGTAGTTGAACTCCATGGCCATCTGTTCCTGGGCATCCAAGAGGTAATTGACATCGACAACTAACTTCTGATAGTTCTTCTCTAGTTTGCTTTTCTCTCGTTTCAGATTGTGAACTTGAAATGAACTCCCCAGATCGTCCCTTATCCTATATGTCTTGCTCTCTTAAAGGGGTCAGTGCCTTCTCCATTGAGTCTGGCCACTCTAAACCAATCCACTAAATTACTCCACAATTATTCCTTCCTGAAAAATTATGAAAAAAACATGGCAATAAGCTAAATGACTTAGATATGTTATAGTAAACTAGAGGAGAACAGGTAAGTTATAAAAAATGACAAGGGCAGTTGTTTTGAAACTTGGTATAAAAATATGACTACTTGAGCACCATCTGACAGTTCCCATATTCACTGACAAACTAAATGATAACTATTGACCTGGGCAATTATTTGAAACATGGTTAATTAAGCACCGCCAAAAAATGAGCATTGAAATTTAGCAAAAAACAATGATCAATATACAATCAACACTAAAGAATTAACACAATACAATCTCAATGAGCAATGAACAATTAACAACGACCACTTCACAGTCGGCCACCTTATTAAACTAATGAACTATCTAAACAACAAAACACTGAAAGTCAAACACTAAGCATGTAAAAAATTAGCAAAGTATGAATTTTAATTAATTAATAACCACATGATTGCAAACATGCAACAAATGAACAGTACAATACAGATACCAACTAATTAAACTAAGACCACACTTAGCAAATTTCTAAGCACACTTAACAAATATAAATGAGCTTGAATTAGCACAGCTTCTCAGCAAATGCGAGGAACCTCCTGCCTGTGAGAATCCCTTCAAATGCAATGCATCTCTCCGAGGGCTTGCCTTGGTCACACAAGACACTCAAATATGGCTCACTGCCGGTGAAATTCACATCATGCATGGTAGTAGGGATCTATACAAGCAAACAACATGAAAAGATAGCAAGGAACAGTTGAGATAGAGCTCCTAGTGAAAATCCCCGAAATCAGAATACCCTAGCCGTAGCAAACTAACCTCGAGGATGTCGTCGTGGGAGGAGGAAACATGCTAGATGGAACCCTCGTTGGTTTTTTCTCTTCAAGTCATTCCAAGACACTATGACGCAGCATGGCATCGGCCGGCGGTCGGGCGACGACTGTGAAAAGAACAGAAAGAGAGTTCACGAAAGGAGAGGGCTCGCGCGAGAAGGGGGGGAGTGAGTAGGGGTTTGACCCTATAACGATTCGTTCGGTTTTGACAAAAATGTTTCGGTCGGTGGCCTTATAATGGAGCCTGCGCATGAACAGTTATACTACGTCACCATTTGCAGGTCCCAATTGTCATAGTCACACTCAAAATGGTCTAACCCACCAACCAGTTTTCCCTAGAAAAAAAATAGGTGCAGAATTTGAATTTTGGCACAAAAATGAATTCTGCTGTAGCATTTGTATACTTCATCAGAACAAGCAAGTTTTATAGACGAGTTATATATGCTAGACTGCTGTCTTTTGTTTTGCAAACGACGCTCTGTTTTTGTTCTGTTCTTACAACAATATCATGTTACATTTGGTCAGGGCTGAAAGAATGCAGAATTGGGTTGCTTAATTTAGTTAATTAATGAATGAACGGGCCAATTCAAATTTTGGTTGCTTAATTAACTCTAGGAGCAGGATAAATTCTGATTGCTAATTGCATATTGTCACTGTCATGCGTAGTGGCAGCATTGGGTTGGTGAAATGGTAATGAAGCCTGCATGATACCATGTTTATTTTTCAATTCCCTGAAAAAAAACTTGTTAGCCCTTTGCTGTAGGTAAGGCGTGTAATTCTTGTTACAGTTGCATTTTGTATTGTTGCACACTTTATATGCAGCAGCATTACAAGTGAGAGAAGAAGAAATATTGTTTTAGTTGAGAGGTGCATTATTTTTCTCTCACCAAACACTACATTTTTGTTTTGTAAGGGAGCAGTAGTGAACAAGCTCATTCTTTTTCCTTGGCTTCCTGGCGTGATGTCACTTCACTTGTCACCTTGCTTAATATCCCCATTGGCTGCCTCGGCTGCTTTGTTCTTCTCTTGGTCTTCTTCCTTGCCTTTCTTCACCTCTGTCTCCTTTTTCTCCTTGGCTTTCTTCGCTTGAGCCTCCTCTGCCTCCTTCACCTTGGCCGCCGCCGCTTCCTCCTTGGCCTGCTTGAGTGCCTCGATTAGGCCTATCAATCACACATCCGGGTCCCTCTTTTTCTTCTTCGACATGGGCATTAGGTTCTCTGCATCGTCAGCGGGCGACATGTCGGTCTCCTCGAGTAGGTGCTGAACTTCCCCAAACAGCTCGTGCTCAATGACATCTAGGTAGTTCTTGGCGAGCACCTTGAAGCCCTCAAAGCGGCAATAGGACATCTCGATGTGCTTGTCCATCCTGCCCCGCCGGATCAGCGCCGGGTCCAACTTCTCCTTGTGGTTGGTGGTGAAGATGATGATTCACTCACCTCCGCAAGCAGACCACAGCCCGTCGATGAAGTTAAGCAGGCCCGAGAGCGTCACCTTGGTGGCATCGTCCTTCTCTGGCTCTATCGGTAGCTTGGGCTTGTCATCGTTGTCGGAGTCCTTGTCGCTTGAGGCCTTCTTGTCCTGGCGGCGTTTTCCTGTGAAGTCGACAGAGCAGTCGATGTCCTCTATGACGATGATGGACTTGCCCGTTGTCTCGATGAAGAGCTTCCGCAACTCGGTGTTGTTCTTGACCGCTGTGAGCTCGAGGTCGTAGACGTCATAGTCGAGGAAGTTGGCCATGGCGGCGATCATGGTAGACTTGCCGGTGCCGGGCGGTCCGTAAAGGAGATACCCGCGCTTCCACGCCTTGCCGACCTTGGCATAGTATTCCTTGCTCTCCTGGAAGGCCATGAGGTCGTCGATGACAGCTTCCTTCTCATCAGGGTGCATGGCGAGCGTGTCAAAGGTGGCAGGGTGCTCGAAGGGGACATGGCTCCATACGCATTTGCCCTGGTAGGGGTTCCAGCTGCCGCTAGCATTGTTGGTGAAGACGCGACGTTGGCGGTTCTTCATAGTGACAACGCGGCCCTCACCGAGTACGAAAGGAAGGTAGGATTCAACGACAAGGTCGCGATGCTGTCGATGGAAGACGACCCGGTAGAAGCGCCTCTCGTCCTGGCCGGGGTATAAATGGATGACGTTGGCCTTGGATTGCCTCTTAGAGGCGTACCACCAGATGGTGATGCTGGAGAAGTCGTCAGTGACCTCCTCATGGTCGTCCAAGGAGACCAGGAGGTTCTTGCTGTCGATCACTGCCGGACCAGAGGAAGATGACGGTCGCCACCGCCGATCCGAGCCACCGCCCACCTCTCCACCACTGCCGCTGCCATGGCCAGACCTGGAGCTCCTCTTGATATTGTGTCGATGGAAAGCCGTAGTGACCTCGACTGGACTGGACATGTTTGTACGTGTTGCGTACTCCCCCCGTCCGCGAATAAGTGTACATCTAGCTTTTGTTCTAAGTCAAAGATTTAGAATTTTGACCAACTTTATAGAAAAAAGTAGTAGCATATATGATATCAAATTAATATATTATGAAAGTACATTTCAAACGAATCCAGCGGTACTAATTTAGTGCCATAAATACTGCTACGTTTTCCTATAAAATTGGTCAAAGTTTTAAAAAACTTTGATTTAATACAAAAGCTAAATGTACACTTATTCACGGACGGAGGGAGTATATAATGCCAATGGCAATGGCTCGTGTGATGATTTTGCTGAGGTTGAGGCTTAGCTAAGCACGTGTTGTCGTGGTCGTTGGGTCCGGAGCAGGTGAGGAGAACCGGCGAGCGTTGATCGAACAGTCCATGGAAACGAGATTACTTAATGGATCCAATGGCAAATGCAGACTTGGCTTGCTCAGTTTTGTAGCCAACCAGATGCGTCAGGATTGTGATTGTTAATTGCATCATGAAACTTTTTTTAGGCGATTGATTGCATCTTGTTACAACAGGCTAGTATAAAAAATTGCATGTGTATAATACAATAGTACGTAGCTTTGATAATCGGAGATGCATGAGGTCGGCATGGTGCTCGGTCGTGGGCGAGATGAAGCATGGATGACGATTTGCATGGTGCTGATGACCCCAGAGGAAAAGGCACAGCTTAGCTGGGCGGAAGACGATCGAGCTGCCTCGCTGGGCCGTGAACGAGTACACCGCTCGGTTGGGCGTGTACCACACCGTGCCCAAAGAAATATTAGTACCACACCGCTCGCTAGGCCTACGTCGCGGTCTAAATAGCCTGGTAGTGACCAACGTGTTGCCGACGACGCAAGCATATACACCAGCTTACTGGTCCTGGGTCTGCTGAGGCAAAAAGCAGTCATCACCTACTTCTGGCCGGGCCAAGCCATGGACCTGTCACCTGAAGTTTTTTTTCTTTTCTTCTGAGCCTTCACTTTTTTTATACCAACATCTATTATAAAAGTTTGAAGTATAAGCTATTTCAAACATAATAAAAATTACATCAATATCATTGGACCACCGGACCATCACTATACCATCGTCAGTACAAGTCGCTGAGAGCCTTCTTTTTCAGTCTCTGCTATTCCTATGTTACTTCATTTGCTGTGATTTTATTATAACTCGGCCTTTTGGTCATCCAGACATTAAGAAATGACAATTTCTTTTAAGGAAAACCATAAGCTTTATTATGGCATAATAGTTGGCAAATCAGCTATTATAAGGCTATCAGCATTTTTTTTAATCTGCCTATCAATATATGTTAGAACATTATACTCCCAATAACAGCGGGACCCTTCGCGTGCACACACACACACACACACACACACACACACACTCTTATTTGGGCCAACTCATGGGCCACACCATTGAAATTTTGTTTACATGAAATAACATCACACGCAGTAAACCAAGCCCTAGGGCAACTCCTATGTGGATCACCTATTGGAAACCACCATTGTCTAAAAAAACCTATTGGACATCACCAAGACATCTTTTCCCCCTCACGCTAGGGTTAGCTTTTCCTCTCAGCGACGCTGATGCCATCATTGAGATTTTGCCTCCCTTGCCTCTAAATCTCCCATAAGGACCGACTCAGACTGATCATGAGGCGATCTTATAGATCACTGTCCGGCATTGGCCGGTCCCGCAGTAGATTCAGAGGACCTAGGGTTCGACGCCCGACGATTTCTTCTCATCGGGCTAGGTTACCGCCATCGACAATGAAGCTCCTGACTCGGGTACTAACATGAGCGAGGTGGAGGCTTTGATGAAGTAACTTGGGCTTAGAGAGGACGACCTCCATGATGTTTTTGTGGAACATGATGAAGCACTGATGGCTAACTTGACATGATGGATAGCCATTGCTCGAGTCCATATGGACAAGCTCAACAACCAATACAGTTTTAAGAATAACATGAGAGTGGCATGGAATTTTGCCAAGGAGGTGACCTTTCGCCCCCTAAACGACAACCTTTACACCTTGGAGTCCTATTGCCACGACGATTCGAAATGGGTTATGGAAGAAGGGCCTTAGAACTTTTGTGGAGTTGGTGCCATACGAAGAGTTTACATAACCCTTGCCGATCAAGCTCGATTCTCTAAAGATATGGACCTAAATCCGTGACCTACCAGATGAGTATGCATCATTACTGAAATCACTAGCAGGGAAGGTTAGCGAATTTATCTATGTTGAGCCGAAGTCACAGGATTTTGACAGATTTTTTCCAGAGCTGAAGTTAAGATCAATGTTAATAAACATACTAAGAATGTTGTTTCACTTATCCCGGATAATAAGCGCTAGATCTTTTGTGTAAAATATGAACGACTCCCAAACTAGTGCTCGGTGTGTGGAAACTTTGGTCACATGTACAAAGAGTACGGTGATGGGATTCACCCCTTCCCCCGCCGCCCTTTGTCTTTAAGGATATGTGAGCAACCTGGTTAAGAGGAGTTAGACATGGCCCTGGATGTGGTAGGGGTCGTGGTCAAATTAGATGGTTATTTTAGTACGAGTGAAGTACATTGTAGGTCCCTGAATTTCATGGGTGTCATGTAAGTCCTCAAATATGAAAATCGTCATCCAAATTCTTGAAATGCAGTAAATGTGTCATTAAAGTCTAAAAACTGTCCAACCCTGCCTAACCGGCCAGCTGGCATCGTTGACCCGTGACACGTCAGACTGGGGGGGCCCTCAAGGTAACGGCCGGTGATGGAAATACGCAAATAAACTAAAATCATTATTTCAAAAAAATGTTTGTGAATATGGAAAAAGTGTTCGCAAGTATTGAAAAAACTCATTCACAACTAGCATCCAGCCAAGCATATGGTTGGGCAGGACACTTGTTTCTATGTAAGTACAATTAAATAAATTCACATACGACGCATGTTTGATTTTTGTTATTTCCTCAAAATTTATTTCATTTTACATCATATGGTAGTAAGTTATGTTATGTGTGACAATGAGGAAAGCACCTGTCAGTTCAGTTGATTCACACTATCAAGTTCATCTATTGATGTACTTGCATCTCCACAGATCTGCAACAACAATAATTGAAGTATGATAAAAACAGCCTCAATAACTCGTTTACAAAAATATCATTATCCATCACATGTTTCCACACACAAGCCAGGGCTTGAAGAGTAATTACCAAGCTTCATATTGAAGTAGTCTATGCTTATTTAGCACTAATTTTTTTTAAAATTTTAGCGAAAAAACTTCTGATCTATTCATCTTCAATCATGGTAGTACTATGAAAATCAGAAATAATAAAAAATACATCCAGATCCGTAGACCGTGCAGCGACGACTACAAGCACTGAAGCGAGCGGAAGGCGCATCACTGTTGTCGCCCCTCCCTCTTCGGAGCCGAACAAAACTTGTTGTAATAGACAGTCGGAAAGCCGTCGTGCTAAGGCCCACAGAACAGCGCGCCAGAACAACAACTACCGTCGATGAAGAGTTGCGTAGATCGGAATGATCCAACTTGAAGGCACATAAATGTAGACAAATGACGACTAGATCCAAGTAGATCCGCCAAAAACATATACACCAGAGACATACATCCACACGCCCATCGATGATGCTAGACGCACCACTAGGACGGAGGCTGGGCAAGTAAAACCTTATTCCATCTTCAGGGAGTCGACGCCGTCTCGCCTTTCTGAGAAGGACAAAAACCCTAACAAAATTCAAAGAAACGTCTAAAAACGGAGCCCTCCAGCCGGCAAGGGGCGGGATCCACCGTGCCTCCATGGCCCTATGGCCGCCGAAGACGAGGCGGACAGGCGACGGTGCCGATGGGAGGCAGAGGAACCCTAACTTTTCTTGGGACAGGTGGCGCGGCTGTGTCTATTATTCTCTGGTAGCACTATTTATTTTTGACACATTTATCACAGCAGAATAGGAGCAGTTTCAGTTTTATATAGAGCAACTTATTGCGTGATATTTACCCACTGAGTTATTTATTACAAATGCATCGACAACTACTAACTAAATTTCACTCTATTTCCTACAAAACGAACACAAATCGACTAACCAATAACTCATCCACAACTAGCATCCAGCCAAGCATATGGTTGGTCAGGACACTTGTTTCTATTTATGTACAATTAAATAAATCCCACATCAGATGCAGGTTTGATTATTGTTATTTCCCTGCAATTTATTTCATTTTACATCGTATGGTAATAAGTTATGTTATGTGTACTAAGAGAAAGCACCTGTCAGTTAAGTTGATTCACACTATCAAGTTCATCCATTCATGTACTTGCATCTCGACAGATCTGCAACAACAATAATTGAAGTATGATAAAACTGTCTCGATGACTCATTTATAAATATCATTATTGATCACATGTTTCCACACAAACGTGTGGGCTTGAAGAGTAATTACCAAGCATCATATTGAAGTAGTCTATGCTTATTTAGCACTAATTATTTTTACAACATTTACCCCACTATTTTTTTTGAAAGTAGGCAAAAGACTTGCCATTTTCATTGATTAAGAAGAAGTGAGAATTGCCCAGTTAATTAACGGAAAACCGGGCTAAAACCGATACAATCAACCCACATAAAATGGGTACCACCAGCCAACCTGGCCACCGACATGGGATCACAGAGCTACAAAGAGGGAAGACCTCCGTCGAGCAGTCGCAAGCGTCATCGTCATCACCGGCTACCTCCGAACGGGCGACTCCAACTTCACCGTAAACCTTTATCGTCAAAGTCGACCCGCAAACAGCTACACAGAAACCATGACAGCACGTGCCAACAAAAGGCCACACGCACGAACAACCGACAGCTCCGACTCTGACGACGATCATCACAAGGGAAATATGCAGGATTTGCGCCAACCGTGCCCGGAAGGGCACCTCGGACACGCCATGCTGCACATGGCGCTTATAGCAGACCCAATTTTTAACGTGGGTTTCACAGTTTCACCAATATACACCATTCACACCCCGTTATAAAATACATCGTCCAGATAATTTGTGTAGTAAGGCTGCCTTGAGGACAGATATTTTGTGTTGTACTGCTAAAACTAGTCGGCGTGCCATCCGGGCAGAAAAAACAAACCTGTTGCACACTTGCGGGAATTAATTCATAAAACCTTCATTCAAGATGAGCATCTTGCGAATCCCACAGCGAAGAAAAGTGTGGGCCTGTACTAGCTTGTTCCATTTTGCTCGTGCAGTAGTATTGAATCTGTACGACAACCTGAGCTGCAAGTTCCTCTGTATCATCTGATTATTACCTGCCTTGCTTGCGCAGAGTCGATCGAAGGATTAAGAAGCCTCTCGTCCTTGGAACTCCAAGCTGAAGAAGGTGGCGCTGAAATGTAACGGTTTTGATTGCAAGACTGGGGTGGCGCGTGGCTGAGATTAAGAAGCTTTTTCGCTGAGACAGTGAGATGGGACCTAATTACATTTTCTTCTTCTTGAGATGATGGCTCATATTTACCAGCTAACTACAAATATGCGCAAAAGAGTCTGGGAAAGAGAGGTATATGTTGATGAAGATGCTGCTGAAATTTGACAGTTGTGCTGAGCAGTTGCTACAGATTAAGAATCTTTGTCGCGGTGACGGCATGTTTGTTGATGGATGGATGAATACCTTTGCTGTATATCGTGTGTCGGTGTGTGTGACTTTGCCATGTCATTATGAATTCATTATAGTACTGTTTATTTGAACTGACATTCTAGAGTCTTGAGATGTGGTTGATCCAAAATTCCAAATACATGAGTGAAAAACCTACATAATTCTATATCCGTGTCTACAAATTTTCTTATATTGAATATAGTTGACGTGACAGATAACTACACATAATACTTGTAAAAATATATTTTACATTAAATCAAATGTCTTAGTAGATGCATATACTTTCTTGAACTAACATGTACCGGTCATCATAGAATTCAGTGTTAAATTGGAAAACCATTGTTTGGGAACTTCAGATAGCGTGCCCATTCAGAGTATAACACTGAACTTTATGACATAAATATCACATAAAAGGAATTTTTGTGAGCAAGGAAAGTACATTTTTCACCTATAACACTGAACATTATTATTACATAAATATAGGGAAACGCTCGCACTCAACCAGCTGAAAACAGGGCGCGCTCGACCACCTCCATGATCATCCAATCAACACATGCATGAGCTTCGCAACGTGGAGGTGTTGTGCTCAGCTGCCTTTGTAACGCCCGATCCACCGCTCGGTTGTCCATGAGTCGTTTTGCCACCGTCCCACACCTCCCTCCCCTACCCCGCGCACGCTTGCTTCAGCATAAAAGAAAATCTTTTATGGATGAGAGGAAGTTTGTTCCACAAAAAATTAGTAGCACACAAAATAGGGTAGCAGATTGTATGGCTATGGCAAATTATAGCCGTACTGAGTCATGTAGTGCGGAGATGTCCTCCATGTTGTGAGGAGTTATTGCCTCTCAATCGTAACCCTGTGACTTTGGAATAAAATTCACGTCGCAAAAAAAAATAGTTTTGCTGTAGCAGTTTAAACAAAAAAATTAGACGAACAAAATTATAACTTTTTTTTGAGGCAACATTTTTTTGAAGGTTTTTTTTAGGCAACATTTTTTTGAGGCAACAAAAATTATAATTGCACAACGGACTGCCATACAGACGGACTGCCTTGATGGCCCGAAAGATGGCCCATTACACACTTCTACCGTCCAAGGCCCGTTGTGGCAGCACAAAATATCGCTCAACTCCAGCAGCACACACACTCCCCATTCCCATCTGGTCGAGCCGCCGTCGAGGGTTTCCGGCGGCCGGCTCCTCTTTCCACAATCCACGCCAGCAATGGCGACCCCCAAGAGAATTTACTCGCCTCTGTCGGAGATCCCCGCCCACCTCTTGGAGCAGATATTCCTCCGGCTGCCCGACCCAGAAGACCTCGCCCGCACCTCCGCCGTCTGCGTTACCTTCCGCCGCCTCCTCACCGACGGCTCATTCCTCCGCCGATTCCGGCGCCTCCACCCACCACAAGTCCTCGGCATCCTCGACCTCGGCGGGTTCCACCCCGCTCAGCCGCCTCACCCGTCGGCGCCCGCCGCCCGCGCGCTCGCCCTGGCCGCTGACTTCTCCTTTTCGTTCCTGCCTTCGCGCCGCCGATGGGCCGTCCGGGCCGTCCGCGACGGCCGCGTCCTCCTCGTCCGCAAGCAAAACATGATGGCCGGGGAGCTCTCGATGTTCCCGGATCTTGTGGTGTGCGACCCCTTGCACCGGCGGTACATCCTGCTTCCCCCACTGCCTGACGACCTAGTGGCATCGGTGGAGAGGCAAGATGACGAATTTTTAGGGTGGTCTTGCGAGCCCAGCTTCATCCCACCTAGCGATGAGGAGGCTGCCCTGGCGGAAGAGACGGCGTTCAGAGTGATCTGGTCGGCATGTTGCAAAACCAATATGGCCGTGTTTGTCTTCTCTTCGACCACTGGGCAATGGTGAGCCGCTGCATCCCAGGCCTGGAGTGATCTGGTCATTAACAGGAAGCCTTTGTATTTTATCAGGCGCCATTTGGTGGACGGATGCGTCTACTGGGTCTCGCCGATGAACAATACAGATTTGCTTGTGCTTGACACCAGGACTATGGAGTTCTCCGTTGCTGACCTCCCACCCGGAGAATGGAGCCAGCAGGATATAGCTATTGTGGATGCAGGGGAAGGCAGACTTGGGATGTTTTGTGTAGATGATGAAAATGCAAGTGATAAATCTTATCTCTGTTATACCATCAGGCAAAACAGAGGCGAGAGCTCTGGCGAGTGGCAGATGGAGAAAATCTCACTAGGTTCTGGGTATCGGTATTGTATCGGAGGTGGAACAGAGAAGTACTTGATCCTACAAAGGATAGAAGCCCAGAAGTACTTATCGCTAACACCACCAATCATGGAATTTTGCAAACTGGATGTCAGGACAATGCAGGTTGAGAGGATTTGTGCTGAATCTTGCGGGTTCTCTGGGTCTAAAGCGTTCATATATACCAACTTCCCACCGTCGTTGTTGTCTTTACCGACAGTATGAATCGGTAAACTTTCTATTACATCCTTGCTATGTCCATCGCTTCATGTTTATCTCCCAGCTTGTCTAATGCCTAATAGTTTTATACTGCAGTTGGTTTTTCTTGTTTGCATGATTTAGTAGTGGTTATTTATCTTGTACTTGTGGGAAAGCTAATCAAGTACAGGTACATAATTACGATTCGCTGTCTAGTTCAATTTGCCATTTTTAGAGAATCAGGCAGGAGAAAAGCTCTTTCACATAGCTTATTCGTCCACTATTATGTTTGGTCTCAAGAAATCAACAAAGGTCAAGGTATAGAAGGATTGATAGATCCAGTTTTACCTTTTGAGTGTTTCACTCACCTCACAAAAAATTATTCCATTCAAGCATGGTTAATCTTATATCTGTTTTTTAATAAATAAATAAGCAATGAGGCAGGAAAAGTATTCTTTTAGTCATGTCACATATATGATTTTATCTTCAATGTTGTTTCAAAATAAATCTGATTAACTGCTACGGTCACAAATAAGAGCCCAACTAACTGCTCTGTGTATCTTGTTCTCACAAGCTGTTTGATTTGAATCAGCCTCATAAGATCCGTTATAGGAGGGGTGTTGTTTTCTCTTTCCTTTTAAAGATAGTTGGAACATTTCACCCACCTCTTCATGAGTCTCCATGTCAATGCATGCAAAATATAAGTATTAATCTCTGCGTTGTCTGGTCGGTTCACGTGCCAAAAAAATCCCTGCAGCCGACAACTTGGGGCCCTACCACAAACTTTCCAATAAAACCCGTTGCCTTTTCCCATCTCGACAACAATCGCCACCTCCGTTTTATTTCTCCCATAT